CAAAATAAATACTGTCATACCTTTCACTTAGTAGACATAGCATGCTTTCCTGGGTTCTACTAGACAACACAGTTTCTTGTGCAATACGATTCCTGACAGTCAGAGTGTACTCACGAGTCAGAAGCTAATATTTATCATCTGGCAGTTCTATTTCCAATCCTATTGTGTGCCCTCAAAACTTCTTTTTGATGGCTCTCCTCTTGACATTCATCTGTTTCTCAGATTAAGGATCTGTTTCTACAGTGAGCCTGCCCCAAACAGTCAGCTCCTGCAGGGATGGTAGGTTCTGTCACACTGCTCCATGATTATTGAGGAGCGTTTAGCTCTTAGGAACTGTTCTTGTGAAGGCAAACAGGAACAGTTCTGTGCTTTGATCCCCCTATCATACAGAAACAGAGAGGTGAGGAGAGCAACACCGTTATTCGGTTTCATCTGGGTCCTGGTTGGGCAGGAAAGCAAAAGACAGGGAGACTTGGTGGGACCTTCCTCTGCAAGGAAGGGAGAATTTCACACACCGGTTCTGCTGCTTTGGCGCCAAGGAAAGGAATGAGTCTGGAGAGGAACTGAGCTTCCTGCATGAAAAAGACAACTGTAAGAGACTCTCCACCAGGTAACTCTTCCTCATTGTATAGTTGCTACTCCCAGTATTGGTAGGAAAGGCCTGAAAATTCACCAACTCAGCCTACTACCATTTTATAACCCCAAAATCTTTACCTAGTGGAATCTCTTCTCCAACAACAGAGAAAGAATTCATGTCTCCAGACTTGGAGAAGAGGTGGAAGGGAAGCTTCTTCTCTGCTTGTAGCAAAATAAAAGAGTTTTTACTCATCATTCCTCCTTTACTTAAAAGAGAAGTAGTATTTAGATGGAGTTGTAATACAGTAATACAATTTACTGACCAATAGATGACGAAAAAAGTGCAACTACTGTACTGCAAAGGCAAAGGACTACTTTAGCATGACACAGGTTCTAGTAAAATAGTGCCATGTGGATCCTGAAGTCAACTGGATAAGATCATAAGAAATATCAACTGCTCGCCCTTCTTAATTAGGGAGAGAAGGGACCCTTACACAGACCCTAAAGGGAGGCACTTTTAAGACTACAGTTCTTGTCCCAGACTACAGGACTTAGCTAAAAGAAAAAGCACCAACCAGCGAAAAATTTTTACAGGAAATATGTGGGGAATAGGCAAAGTGTTTGGAAGGAAATCCTAGAAGGAAAGTAAACTTTCTGGCATAGGGAGAATTTGTTTTGTTTGTTCTTGAACCCTGCACAGGAGTCTTACACATTCATCAATAAGGCAATCACAGGTTAATCTACTGTATGTAAGCACAGGCACTAACAAAATCCTCTCTCTTCCATTCTTAGCTCTGCCTAACAAAGTCAATCAGTGGCAACATCTACACGACTTCACATTATGTTCTACAGCAGTACTGCAAACATTAGGTTTTTTCCTACAGTATAATTATTTTCAAATACTATTCATATATTTGGTTTCTTTTCCAGCCTAAAAGACTTGCCAGCAGTTTACTATGGAGGAGAAAAGGATGGTCAACACAAAATAGCACTCACTTTCTCAATGGCTTTAGGTTTAGACAGGTACTGCTCGACCTTACAGCTCAACTTCCGTTGCTTAAAGGCAGACTCATATAGATGGACACGGCCAAAAATGATCCAGGAGACAGAGGGGCACTCACTCTACTATACTTTGCTGTAATACCTAGTACTGCTAAGGTAAGTAAACGAGAGGAGTCCATCTCCAAAGGTCTTCCACAGAGTCTCTAAATTAAGTAGATGGGCCCACTCAAAAACTTGAAATAATTTAGTTTGCTGAAAAGCAAAACTCCCTCCCTCAGTCTTTAAGCAATATGATAACTATTTAACACCAAGAGTTTTCCTTTTTTTGTTGTTGTTTTTTTTTTTTTTTTAAATTTTAATTAGAAAGTAACGGGAAAAGAGTTTAATTATTTCACAATGCAGCCTTTTCATAAACATACAATTATGTTCATTTCATGAGAATTTATCGTCACTGTGAAATCAATCGTCACAGTCTCCATTTACTATACATTACCAAGTCACATTTGATTCCTGTCAGAGAACTGTTGACTTCTGCAGTAAATCAAAATGACAGATACTGTTAGTTTCCTTCTGCATCTATCCGCAAGCCTCAGCTAACTCAAGATGGTTTTTCCTTCTATGCAGTGAAACGAGCATTTTCCTGGTAACTATATTTCAGAACTGGAAAGGTTTTCATAAATGGAAAAAATGCAGTGCATAATCCAGGAAACTATTGAAATGTACAGTATCAGAAACATATGGCTGTAGCAAATACCTATGCAGTGAGGGGCTGGGAATGAAAAAGAGAACAAGCTTATTAAAATTTTTCTCCTAAAGGGATTTTGCTTGAAAATTAAAATACTTTAATCGAACATTAAGAAAGTTTGCATAGTTGATTTAAAAAAAAATAAAACCAAAACCAACAAACAAACAAACTGCTGCAGATGATGGGGAAGAAAAAGAGATACAGTATAATCTCCATGCTATCATGGAAGCTGGAACAGATGATTTTGCCTTTGTTCTTTAATGATCTACATCTTAAACAGCAAAATGGTTCCATAACCAGAACCCTCAGTGGGCAAACTCAGAAGGAGAAAGCTGATTTCTATCTCAATAGCTAAGTTTTCTAAATTAAAAAAGCAACCACCGCCACCTCCTCCCAAAAAACCAACAAAAAAACCCCCAGAAACTAAGTTAATTTTTACACGAATTTTGAAAAGCAAGCCATATTTGTACACACACATTCAGAAACCAGAAATCAATGGATTAGCATAAAGTAAAACAATGAGACTCCTTATTTCAACAGATTTGACTGATTCCCTGTTTCAGTTTCCCTAAGAATCTGGGACAGGGAACACAGTCCCCCGTTGAGGGCCCGATCACTTTACTCAAGCCCCAGTATCCCTGCTTCTGCTGACGCAATTTCTGAATTTAGGAGACAGAGGAAAATGATACTAAACTTGTTTTTGACTTATTTGTGCCAGCAGGCAGATTTGTAGAAATATCAAAAATCAGCTGTTTTACAGTAACAGAGGAATCACTGTTGTAATTAGAATTCAGTAAATATTTCTTCAAGAACAAGTTCTGCCTCCTTTTAAGCTGGAAGACTGTCTTCATAAACAGCCACTCCCAAGGCAAAGTTATTTTGTCATCTTATCGCTGTGCTGTCATGTCTTCACATGCCCACGTAGATATAAGGATGTTTTTAGAGCAGCTTGCAGATGCTGGGGGGTCTACTCACAGCCCAAATGGGCAGGGTTATTACAGACATGGCAAACATTTTAGACATCTGATTCTGAAATTCTTGCTGTCCAGTGCATATAAAGATTCAGTGAAAATGTGAATGCGCAGCTATGTAAACACCTAAATAAATCCCAAACTTGCCAATGGAAATGCATGCTTCTCTTGGATTTTCATGGCAGTTCAGTGATTAATATTTAAGACAATGAAAATATTCAAAGCCATTAGCCAAAGCAAAGGAGAAACAATGAGCTAAAATTAACAGATTTCTCATGGAAGGAACTTAATATGTACAGCTGATATCAAACTACCATGACAAAGTTATCTTTCTTGACTGAAATACGTGCAACATTGGGACGATTCACACATATCTATAGCAGAATAATCATAATTACATTAATTTCCAGCATCTGAAGATCATTTATGTTTTTAAAAACACAAAAAATTTTTCCAAAGCTTTTTTTTCTGTGCTCCAGAAATGCAAGCGGTCAAGTGTTTGAAATCTTATTCCCAGCAAGTATGTGCATGACATACTTTCAAAGGGCATCTCCTGGCAGACAATGTCCACATGTAGGCTAGCTGAGATGTCAGCAGATGTAGGCAAAGCCTTCACGGGGTAGTTCAGAGCGAGACTCACATTGCGTCCTCATGTTTCTGGGGCCAGCAGAAACTTGACAGCCCAGAAATCCTGGGCTTTACTTTTGTTTTGCAGGAGGGAGGGGCATTCCCTGCTTCTGAAAGGACTATTTCTGGTCAGTTCAGAAGCAACAACAGCTGGCTGTGCAGGGAGCTGCATCCAGCCCTCATCATCTTGAGCAGCATCTGAATGTATTGCCAAGCTTTGGCGATACAAGGAGAGAGCGGGTGTGAAGGAACTTAGAAGGGAAGAGGAAAACAAGGGCATCTATCCATGCTACCACTACAATTAATTGTACTTATTTTCCTGAAAAAGAACTTAAAGAAATTGCACCTATCTGATGAAATGCAATTCCACTGAGACAGCTGCAAATGCAACTCTCCTCTTCAGTAAAAAACTCTAAAATTTACAGGTCATTTGTATGTCTTTAAGTGTTGCCACGCTTCCTTGACTTATTTGTGCACAGTAATCTGAATCGGCTGTGCGTCAGGAGTAGGCTTCCATAGAGTACCCACACCACTTAATCAGAGGATGGAGTCTGAAAGGAAAAGTATGAGGCAAACACTACAAAGCAAAGATTCTAATTAATTAGGAAAGCAGAGGACTCTCATTTGTTCTCCATTCAGCAGTATTTAAACCCAAACAAACAATAGAATGACTCCCAAGATTACAGACAGGCAAGATTTTCCACTGGAGAAAGTGAAAAGCAATGACGCTTTTGTGATTTACACCAGTTGAATCTGGTCACAAGGTACAGAAGTCATGAATGTTTTGGTAAGCCTAGGTGATTGCCAAACAAAACAAAAATAGGATCAGGAGATGATTATTCAACCATACAGAAGAACTAGATGACTAATCACGGAGCTGTTTCACCCCATGAGTAGCTCGGAGGACACTAACCTTTCATCCCATGGTTATGCAACAGCAAAGCAGCAGATAAATCAAGAATATCAAGATCTTTGTTCACTCAACATAGTGGAAATACCAGAACTGTGCTCCCAGTTGTTAAAATACTCAGCTAGATATAGTTTTATAGAAGTACCTGCAGAACAGCACATTTTCTTACCTCTGCTCCGTGTTAAACAATGCAAAGATATGTTTGCTAGACATAAAGCTCTTTTCAACATCTCGTACTTTCAAGTTGTCCAAAGGAAGCATATACTTCTTCTCTTTTTCCTAGAAAAAACAAAAAATAATAAACACGCCAGATTAAAACAACACTGCGTGACAAGTCTCAGAGAAGCCTGATCTCAGCAAGTTCTGTTTAGTTGGTATGCCTTCAGTACATTTATTATCGTAAGGGAATATCCAAAATTGAAGTGTCTGCTTATCTTTCATAGACATATCTGCAAGAGAAATCAAACCTCAATTCCAGTTCTGTTTTTCACTGACCTTTTTAAAACATTCCCTAATAAAAAAAAATCCATCTCAAACACACGAGCATCTACATTTTTTATTCTCCATCCCTCTGAATTCTAAAAAGAAATGGGTCAGGCTTAACTAAAATGAAAGTATCTGATCAACACAGAACTCTTCTACCATGTCCGTGTAGCAACTGGAGTAACCTGTGAAATAAAATTCATCTCTATCTAGAATTTCTATTATTAATTATTTAAAAGTGGCATTTTGATGATCTCAGGGATAAATTTTCATTCCTCCAGTGGAAAATACAAAAATCATACAAATCAATCAAAATCATACTATCATCAAGGCTTTAGATATACCATACATGAAAAACCCCAGACTCTAATCTAACCAGCTCGTTCTCCAAACAGCAGGAAAAAAAACTTTTCACTCTTGCTGGTTTTGCGTTCCATCCCAACTCTCATTTACGGAACACTATAATTTCACCTTTTCTAGGTTTTTTTGCTTCCTGTCACTCCAAATTAAAGACTAATAACACTCTTTAACTACTTCATGATGTCAGAACAAAAAAGCCCTAAGATAATGAGCTGTTCCTATTGTGTTAAACTTCAATGAAGTCCTTGTACGGATGGATAAACCCGGGCAAAACTCTCCATTTTGCTTTGCAAATACGCCTGATGCTAAGTAGAAGCGATTCAAAGCCCAGAGGGGCAACCCTCGTGTCCTCATTCCCCCCATCCTGGTACTGCACATCGTGATAAAGTAGCCAACGAGGGTACTAACACAGTACAGAGAGCGCCATTGCCATGGCAGCAATGGAGCAGGGAGAGAGGATTTATGCCCTGGAATTTGTGTAGCGGATACCAGATTAGGTTCTCGTGAATCTGGCTACCCAATGACTCTACGGAAGTTCAAGAAATCACCAAAGGTGGAAAGGTTAGGATTCCTTCACAGTCCGTTATCTGCCAACATAAAGCAAGACTGACTAGTCTCGGTCTAGCCATCATCAGAACCAGCTGCAAAGCCTAGCACCCATCGCACTTGCTGGAGAATTGTGAACTGGGACATCACTTACGGTGGTTGGCTCAAGTAAAGAAATATATGATAATAGTTTCCTGTGTGCCGTAAAACAAGGCAAGAGGGACAAACCAAACAAGGATTCATTTTTCTCCGTACATGTTTCCCAAAAGAAGTACACACAAGTAACTTCCACTGCGCAGAACTGGAAGAAGTCCTAGCTAGACGGAGATGTGCGTACTGTGAGGGCAGATGCAATTCAACTTGGCTAAGCTTTAGCAGATTGCAAAACTAAACTGGATGAGAACGTACCTAAGAGCGAAACTATAAAAATACAGTGACGTGTCCAACAATGGCTCACTTTCCTAGACAGCTTCATAACAGGCCTCAGTAGAGGAAAAAGCATATTTCAACGGCCCTTCTGGAAAAGCATGGTTTCTACTGTCTGGTCTTGTTGAATACAAAAGTTATCAAATCCAGTGTGGGAGTATTACATAAAAAGTATCTAATGGATTTTCAAACTGCCTCTAGCTTAGCCACCCTAGAAGTTATTACCCACAAAAAATCATGTGTATATATATATATATGTATATTCTTTATTCTCTCATCTAACAACAATTCTGACGAAGGAGTCTAGCTCTATACCAGTCTATAGCTATTTATCACAGTTCATATCTATATTCTGCTTCCAGGGAATATACACTCTCTGAACCTTTGGGGTTCTCCCTGAAGGGAGAGTGTACTCTCATTCCACTCATTAAGTATTACCACTGAGATAAATAAAACTAAGCAACGTCATAATTTACCAATAAAAAAGTAAATAAATAATAGTAAATGAAACTAAATAAAGAATTAATAGATCAGATATTTATGTGTAAAAATTAGAAGTACATTGTCCTCTAATACTGATTTTTCTTGATATGATCTGTTTTGAGATTATACGCTTATGTCCTAAATAGTTCTAGTAGCATTTAAAAGGTAACAATGCATTAGCTTTGCTGCCATGACAAAGTGACACACACTCGAAAAATATCCTAGCATATAAATTCAGGAGAACACATATCAAACTTTCTATTAAAAGCAAATCACCTTTTTCAGTTGAAAGCTGGACTGCGTGGCAATGTAAGATACTTTGTTTTCTATTTCAAACATTTAAGACAGGTTATATAAAACATATTTTGGGCAGAAATATCAATGTTATTTATTCCGTCATAACAAAGAACAAAAACTAGATAAGCTAATTTTCATTCTTTAAAACTTCTTTCACTATTACAGAATATGCTTATAACGATTTACTATTCAATTACCAGAAGTTTAAGAAGTTTCTGATGAAGTGTTTGTTCTGACAGACACTATTTACTGACAAACCAAGCAGCTACAGATGAGTAAAAATAGAAACCAGTGAAAAAAACTATACCAAGAATCTGATTGTCTAAACAAAAATTCCACAAGCAGGAAAGTTGTATAAAAGTTTGATGCCAAACTGTGAGAAAGTGTTTCTTCTGTAGCCACCAGGAAAAAGGAAATGCCTACTGAAGGCTAAGAAGTGGTTGGTATTTATTTACATGGCCTCCTACCCACATGCTGAGACAGAGCAGTTTCCAAGAACGGGAAATCATAGGGTGCCTATGCTTGAACCGAACAGAGACAGCATGTCACACATGAGAGATCAGACCCAAACACGGCTTAATTCCAGGAGAAAGGTATTACTGCAACACTAAAGCCTGGCAGCAAAACCCATAGGAACAGTTATTTTCAAACAAAGAGGAAAAAAACGTATGTAAAGGGAGCATGAGCTAATTCAACAGCAGAGGAGTCCAACATCATTTCGGCCTTAGCTCAATTAATATTGTTATGGCAGGGCAAAAAAAGCTCCAGCCAGGACTATCTGTGCGTGTTTCCCCTCCTGAGAGGCTGACAGCGTAAGAAACAGGGAATGTATGAAGCCTGGGAGGAATGGGGCTAGGCACGCTTCTAAAAGCGATGACATGCGCATAACTGTGGGTCCAGTTTGTCCCCCTCAGCATTTGTTCTTTTTTATTTATAGATTTTTATTTTTATAATGGGGCAGAGAACTTAAGTGTGACACGAGGGGAAAAACCAGCACACGCTGATCTCACGTAGAGGCTTCGCCTCTCTTTTTCCTATACAGAGTAGAGAAGAAGGAAAAAGCGGGAGGTAGCACGGCCCATTCCTGTCTCTCTGACATGAAAAAATAACCCCGTAATGCACCTTAGAAAAACAAACCAACCTGCTCGCCTGGGGAGGCCTTCCCACCCTTGAGACGATGTTTCACCACTCCTGGGCAGAAGTAGCGCTCACATCCTAATGGACTAGTTCTGTGCTCTGACAGGCGAGTAAGCTGCCAGGAACTGACAGCATGATGTAAATATGCCATATTACAACTGCCCCTTCCTTCTGCAGTGTTTAAACGTACTAAAAATAAACACTGCCAAAGTCCAAAATGGCACAAGGGATGAAAAAAATACAACAGCAGCTCCCTGCCCTCCCAGCGAGGTCTCGGCCAGCACTTCCAAGCTAATGAACTTCATTTCCAGCCAGGGGCAGAAATTATTCTCTGCTCTCGGAACTTCGTAGGCTCCGTCAGAACAGCAGAAGAAACAACCTTGGACACGACGTCAGCTAACCAGATTATAAGGGGAAGAGAATTCCCTTGCTTCAGAGAAAGAAGATTATTAAATTACTTCAGCTTCTTGCAGTTATCAAAGGTGATCCTCATTTTTATTTGTCAAGATGGCTACTGCGCAACAGCAGCACACAAGACAAACTCTGCTCCTCATTTCATATCCTGAGGAATAGAGGCAAAATTCATGCAGGACAATTCAAATATTTCAGGCTCAGATTTTGAAAGGCAGGTCTGAACCTGAGCGTTGGGCTAATCGCATCTTCAGTTACATCACGGGGAACACCAGCTTCCAATGTGGGGGTCACGACACCAACCAAAACCTGTCTGTGCTGACTGTCGGAACCACAAGTCCGAAGAAATCAAGCTCCCAACTGGAAGTGCCGGCCACACTAGAAAAGTTGGAACAAATACTGGTTTACAGCAGGATTCTGTACTGAAAGTACAACTCTCAAGAGCCATTACTGTGCAGGGGTAGCAAATATAGGTATCCACGAAACGCCCTGCCATTAGTACTAGGCATTAACAAGTATCAGCATTCACAAGGCAAAATGGCAAACTACTTTAAAATCATAAACTGAGGAAGGATGGCTTTGAATTAAAGCCTGGGAACAGCAGATAAAAAGGTTGGCATTTCTGCCTCTGAACTAGATTGCCAGACCGGCACCTACTACTCTCTGTATTTGTTTCCAGGTCAGTAACTCAGGTCTAACACCTGACTCACGGGCACCGTGCTCGACCTTGGGTTTGCGAGCTGCAGGGTTTGTGATGGCAGGGCATGATTAAGGCATCCTGCAACCAGGGTGCTAAAACGTGTAGGTGGAACATCAGAGCAGAAAAACTACTTGGCAAAGCAGTTAAGCAGCAGAGGGAGAAAATAATACCGAAATGAAGATCTTCTACGGTACCGTACTCTGTTAGATGGCGGGATCTCTGACCCCATTTTGCAGACAGGAGCTGCTCTCGCTGCCAGGGTAGAATAGCCTACTCCGTGGCATCTGATGAAAATGCAGACTATTAAGATGTCTCAGAGCAACTTTTATAGTATTTAAATCAATAGCCAAGAGTTAACCATATTCTAACTTTAAATATACACAAGAGAACTTTACTGTGCTTCTATTTCAGTTTATTTTTCTCTCTCAGTTTAGAA